TTTTTTTTTTTTGGTGGAACTGGGGATTGAACTCAGGCCCTTGCACTTGCCAGGGAAGTGCTTATTCTACTGAGCCATCTCCCTGGCCCCAGGCATTATATATAGAGGAAATATATAAGTGGCAGCCAACATTTCATCAGAAATATTGGCAACCAAGATTTTTTTTTTTAATGTATTTTTAGTACAGGGATACAGGGTCTTACCACACAGATCAGACTCCTAGTGATTCTCCTGTTTTCAGTCTCTCAAGCATTGGGATTACAGACATGCCACCAGGTCCAGTCTCAGTCGCCTGTCGCAGCACTCCCCAGGGGCAGGGCTGGCACAACATGTGGTGCTGGGGATCGAACTCCCATCCCTGTGCCTGTCTAACCAGGTGCTTTAATCCACTGAGTATCTGGCCGGCCCTCAAGAACTGACATATTTAAATCTATTCATTAAAAGTAAATTCCAAGGACTGGGGAGATGGTTCAGTGGAATAAGCGCTTCCCTGGCAAGCCCAAGGGCCTGAGTTCAACCCCCGGTTCCGCAAAAAAAAAGGTAAATTCCTCACATGGCGCATTGAGCCAGTCAGCAAGTCCAGGCAGAATACATAAAATAAATAAACAAATCATGATCAGTGCCATCTAGGCCCAACAGAACAATTCAACCCTCCCCCAAAAAGTAAATTCCTTAATCATCTCTCTTAGGCAGTATTTAGCTTAACTTGGTAATCAGTGTATTTATACATAATTAAAAATCTAAATTTGTTTAAAAAGGATGAACCTGAGTTGGCACTGGAATAGTTGTTCAGACATTCGTGCAGCCAGTTAGTCAGCCAGAGTAGCCTGTCTTTGACAAAGTACTATGTCTGATGCCCAAAACAGAAACTTGTCAGAATGAAAGATAGGTAACAGGAATAAATTATTTTTCTAAGTTTTAAATATGTCCTATTAAGTGACCAATAACTGGGAACATTTTGCATTTAAATTACAGGATCTTAATCTAATCCTTTCAGAATTTTTAAACTGGAGATAAGGTTTTACTGTACAAATACTCAACTACCTTTCATATAACCCACACTCACATTCTAATTTAATATTACGTTACTTGGTGTTTGCACTTTAATATTTATTAAAATGATTACTGAATTTTATCTTTAAACAACAGAAACTTGATAGTCAAATGAACTTATGACTAGCAACAAATCATATGCCTTACAAATGGTGATTAAGGGGCTGGAGAGATGGCTCAGTGGTCTAAAGCACCTACTTGAAACAAGCTTGGCAAAGCACAGGGACCTCGGTTCGATCCCCCAGCACCACATGCCAGCCAGCCCGCACCCTGGTGGGCTGAGCTGGCCACACACACACACACACACACAATAAATAAATGTAATAAAAATAAATAAATATTTAAGATTCTCATATGTTTAAAAAAAAAACAAATGGTGATTAAACTGTGGTAAATCATACAATGGAATATATGCAATAAAGTGTAACGATCGGGCACCTACAACAAGAATTTGAGTCTGAACTGCATTATGGTAAAAGAAGGCAGACTCAAAAGAAAACTTACTATATGAGTGCCACTTACATAACATTCTGGAAAAACTAAAATTGGACCGGGGATATAGCTCAGCAGCACAGTGCCTGTCTAGCAAGCAGAATGTCCTAGTTCAATTCCCAGTACCAAAAAAAAAAAAAAAAAAAAAA